GCTATTGGCTTTTGCTCGTACTCGTCTACAGCGAGCCAGCCGGTTTCGGCACTATCAGCGAGACGAATGAGTTTATTACGTTTATGTAAAATATTCATACCTTCAGTGTGGCATCGTTTGACTTCATTCAAATAATGTTGTTGTATGTCGAAGTCGCTGGCCGATTCAGCTTTTTCAAGAAAGTCGCTCGCCTCGTTGATGGCCGCTAACGCCTCGCTGTTCACGTCGTGCTGTTTTTTGTTGCCTCTGTTTTTCAATTCTAATTTACTCGATGAAGAATCCTTTTTCAGTTTCTTTAGTAAATTGTTCTGATTCGTTTCTGCATCGTCTTTAAGCTCTCGTTTGAAACTTACAAATGAATCTTTTAAAAGTTCTTTTACTTGTTGGAGACTATTTTCATCCATGTTGAAAACGAGTTTAGTATCAATGCCAAAAATATGTTGTGTGTTTATGTCGTGGCAAGAACTCAAAATGACTATACAACCGACGCTCTATCCTTCGAACCGTATCACTCACTCGCTAAGCTAGCATCGACCAATCACCTCTTATCCCTACACAACAAACTGTTCCATTTACGCAACGCACAAAGAAATCATTTATTTGCTAATGTCGCTTTGCTCAAACGCAAATAAATGTGAAATATCTTATCTTATCAATATTCTTCTGGGAGTACAAGAATATCAATTTGTATCTGACTCTTCATTACAAGAGTCATGTCAGAGAGATTATAAAATTTAAACCACAATGCACAAACGGGAATTTCGCGTCATAATTATTCTTCCGCTTGGTGCGCTGTTGTGCATAGCAACATCCTATGCAACGTGTATAAACATCGCGCGGACATATAAGTACAACCCGTCATTTTTTCATGTTTGCAATGAAATTTTCAATTCAGATGTGTTTTAAACTATGATTTTCTTTCATAATATATATTGTTAAATAGGCATGATACATATCATCGTGTTTCTAAAGAATTGCTTATTTTAATCCTGTTTATTTCAAGTTGGTTCAATATTAGTAAAGTTACAGCTTCACTTTGGAGGGGCAATTTCTTCGTAAACTAAAAACCGCATCGTCTGCAAAGATTTGACGAAAACACAACATTTTTGCGCCGGTGGTATTTCTTCATTTATGGATGAATCTTCATCAAATTTGAAACACGTTTGAGCTAAATATACAAATTGTGTCTTGTCCGAGGCGGAATTTTAAAATTCAAATTACAAATAAAGAAAAAATAGCTAACCAGTGTCAAGTTTTACCGCCGATTTTCGAAAAAAATATGATGTAATTCCTTATAGAGTTGGAAGAAAACGAATTGTTTAAACTGCACAGGATAAAAATATATTAATCCAGATACATGTAAGCTTTATATACAAATCATTACATACGTTAAAGGGCATCATCAACCACTAGAAAATCGTGTGTAAAGTTGGACAATATTTGACCCAAATTGACCGGCAAAATGGCCGCGCGCTCGCAGCGCCTCTAGCAGAGGAATAATTATGACGCGAAATTCCCTGGTGTGAATGTTGTGCTCAGCGTGAATTTGACTGAAATATGTGTAAATTCACCAACACAATTGAAGTGCTAAAACTGGATGCTCATTAACTTTGAGTGACTATAATCCCTTGATTACCTGGATAAACACCAATTCACTTATCAAGAAATACCATTCAATGTCTGTACAAAGAAAGTAAGCAATGTTTTGGAGGATATGTTTCAAACTTTTTGTATAAATTACTCATTTCATATTTGCCATTGATTTTTTTCAATTCTTGCAAAGTGATATGCACTGTCTTTGGTGTAAATATTCATCATCAATTGTGATACAAATTGATATTTTTGTAATCTCACAAGAAGTATAAGATATTGAAGTTTAAAGGTTGTATATAACTATTTAAGTGTTTTTGACACCTTTTCAAAGCCTTAATACAGCATGTTGTGTATATGTATAATACTTTTCTTTACTTATACATTTAGAGTGGATATTCATCTTTCAATCCATATGAAGAAAATGTAAATTGATAAAATACTGATGGAGTGGAAGCTGTTACAATGACCCCTACTTTTAGCAATTTTCAGAACGTTTCGTCAAGTGTACTTAATGAGGGGCCAACCTTAAATCAATAGCAAAAACATTGGTGTTTTTTGGCTTAGAATTAATTTGGTATATAAATGGGAAATAATGTGTTTTTTGGCTTAGAATTAATTTGGTATATAAATGGGAAATAATGTGGAAAATCATCTAACAGTTTGGGGGTTTCTCCAAAGCTATCGTTGTTAGGGAAATGACGTCACATTATATTAGATTTTCACAAAAGCGGGCTACGAGTATTACATCATCAAAATGGAATTGGCAGGACTGTTTTGGGGGAATTCCGGCCAGATACTTTCACTTTTGTTATTAGAGTACTTTCAGATTTTATTCGAAAGCGAATGTGTATTTATTGCATTTAATTAATGAAAATGAATCTAATTGATGATATTTTTCAAAAAACTCATTTTTTATTGTTTTCTAAGCCCTTGATAGTTTTATACATCCTTTAATAATATGTGTGATTGAGTTGGTTTTTCAGACATTACAGTTTTCAATATTTTTTGGGTCGATACCCAGACTCATTCCCAGACTCATCCTTTGATCCAAAGCTTTGCTGAGATATACTGACGTCATGATAGGTTGATCATAAATGATTTTATGGAAGTTTAAAAGTGTCCCCTAAATTCCAAAATAAGCAGCATTAAACTTTGAATTGTCAAACATTGGCATAATAATGTTGGTCACGGAGTCCAGAATGATCAAAACAAAGCTTGGGAATTCCCAACATTACAGGTATATGAAAAATATGCCCATGAATGTTTAATACCATTCCCCACATTTTTAAATGCACCAATTCAAACTTCATCAAACATCAGCATGATAATGTTGGTCAAAAATACTAGAATGATCCTAACAAAACTCAGGAATCCTCTGCATGATAGCTGGATCAAAAACACTTACATGAATTGAATTGAAAAAATAATTGATATGAACTGAAATTACAATCTGCTCTTAAATTAGATCTTAATATTCAGATGAGATTCCATGAAAAAAAAATCATGTACATAATGTAAGGGTTTGCACTTAAATTGGATCATTGTATCTTAACCCTCGGATGGGATTTAAATTAACATCTATACCAAGTATAGAATCAAATAATTTGTCAGGAACCAAATATTAGATCAAATGTTCATCTTTCAGGGGAGGTTACAGAAGAAATGTATGAGCTTGGTTGCAAAATAAAAGCATGTGACCAACAAACAGAGTTGAAAGAACAGGCAGACCTCATGTGTCAACTTGGCCAGTTATACATCACATCAGCAGAGACCTCGGAAATCTGGTATGAACACTATATTTGGTCATGTGCACTATATAATGCAGCAAAGTGTAGAATTGAGAAGCTGAATAGCAAACAAGCTGATGGCACATATAGAACCCTTGCAGATAACTCATTGGAATGTATTGACCAACAGCTCCAACTAATAGAGGATAACTTTGTACAAAAGTGTTCTCCTGCAAACTGTAGTGATGTGCCAACCAAAGTGTCAACAATGAAGTACAAAGAAGCATTGGAAAAGATACGTGAGTACTCTAACATTACTGTTAATGACATCATCAAGGAGAACATGATAGTTGATGATGTGACCACAAGGATGAAAGAAGAAGATGAAGACAACACAATACAGCAAAGTAAAAGGTTCTATAGTGGAATAACACAACAGCTCCTAAATTTTTATCGGTCAATCATCAAAGACTGTATTTCTGTTTTAGGAAACCCTGATTGTCATTTTGCATTTATAGCACTTGGTTCCCTGTCTCGTCAAGAGGTCACAGCATACTCTGACCTAGACTGGGCAATATTGTATGATCCTTTAGATAATCCGGTTGAACATGTCAAAATGCAATTGCGTATGATAGCCTATTACATGCACTTGAAGGTTCTTAACCTTGGGGAAACTTTGTTACACTGTTTAAACATACCTGTTCTGACAGATTTCAATAACCAATTACCATCTGACATGAAAGACAATTTCTTCTATGACACAGCAACCACAAGGGGAGTGTCTTGTGATGGAACACAGCCACATGCAAGCAAGACAGCAATTGGTAGGAAGTGTAGAAGGTATCCTTACAAACCTCCCAAGCTTGAACTTATCATGACTGTTGATAATATGAGTAAGTTTCAGTTTACAGAAGAATCGGTAAAGGAATATGATCTTAGTGACATCCTCGCGATATCAACTCTTATAACTGGAGACTATGCTTTATGGAAGGAGTATAATGAAAAAGTACACTCCATATTGACATCACCATCTGAAACCAATCCAGACATCACAATGGGTAGAGAACGCGCAATGTGGAGACTGAAAGAACACTTAGCACAAAATGAAAAACCTCTGTCATCAAAATCATTCATAAGGAAAATGCATACAAATCATGATGTCTACAGATTTGCTACAATCACTATCAACATTCTAAAGCTTATGCATGGATGTACAGCATGTGCTCCATTAGACGTGTTAGAGGAACTGCAACATAAGGGTATCCTGACAGAAAGAGCAATGAAGGATCTACAACTGATGGTGGTCTCTGTCATAAATCTTAGACATATGTTCTATGGTACATATAAGCAACAGAAGGAGCTCATATCTTTCTTCCAAAGTGAATTGGTAGGAAATGAAAAAATAGAAGTAATACCAGTAAGAAGTTATACAGCCATACTACGTTTTTTTAACACATTTTTACCATGGTGTAAATTCCTCAAATCAAACTTGAATGTGAGTGGTAACTGGGCTTATAGTAAGAGATATTTTGAAGGGAGCAATGAAGTAGAATCAAAATTATACAGCAACATCGCCTTCTTTCAGAGGACATTGCATGCATACCAAAGAGAGTTAAAAATACTTCAAAGCCTTGATACAGGAAGGCAAGAGAGGGAAATGGCTTCTATACAGACTGCAATAGGTTTACTGTATCATTCACAAGGGTGCTATTCAGACGCACTACAACATCACAATGACAGTCTGAAAATAAGAAGAAAAATCAATGATATAAATGGCCTCTCTATGTCATTGAATAACATAGGCAATGTGTATAATGCCATGGGACATAAGAATGAAGCACTGAAATATCATCAAGAGAGTCTTACAATGAGAAGAGTAATCAACCAGGACAGTCCCCATTCAGATGTTGCTTCATCACTGAACAACATAGGTTGTGTGTATAATGACATGGGAGATAAGACTAAAGCACTGGAATATAATAAAGAGAGTCTTATAATGAGAAGACTCATCCACAAGGACAGTCCCCATCCAGATATTGCTAAATCACTATACAGCATAGGCAATGTTTATGCTGAGATGGGAAATAAGATTAAAGCACTGGAATATCATCAGGAAAGTCTGACAATGAGCAGATTAATCCACCAGGAAAACCCTAACACCGATGTTGCTAGTTCACTATACAGCATAGGCAACCTTTATGCTGAGATGGGAGATAAGATTAAAGCACTGGCATATCATCAGGAAAGTCTGAAAATGAGCATATTAATCCACCAGGACAACCCTAACACCGATGTTGCTAGTTTACTATACAACATAGGCAATGTTTATGCTGAGATGGGAGATAAGACTAAAGCACTGGCATATCATCAGGAAAGTCTGAAAATGAGCATATTAATCCACCAGGACAACCCTAACACCGATGTTGCTAGTTCACTATACAGCATAGGCAATGTTTATGCTGAGATGGGAGATAAGACTAAAGCACTGGCATATCATCAGGAAAGTCTGGCAATGAGCAGATTAATCCACCAGGACAATCCTAACTCAGATGTTGCTAGTTCACTATACAGCATAGGCAACCTTTATGCTGAGATGGGAGATAAGACTAAAGCACTGGAATATCATCAGGAAAGTCTGACAATGAGCAGATTAATCCACCAGGACAACCCTAACACCGATGTTGCTAGTTCACTATACAACATAGGCAATGTTTATGCTGAGATGGGAGATAAGACTAAAGCACTGGAATATCATCAGGAAAGTCTGAGAATGAGCAGATTAATCCACAAGGACAACCCTAACACCGATGTTGCTAGTTCACTATACAACATAGGCAATGTTTATGCTGAGATGGGAGATAAGACTAAAGCACTGGAATATCATCAGGAAAGTCTGGCAATGAGCAGATTAATCCACCAGGACAACCCTAACTCAGATGTTGCTAAATCACTATACAGCATAGGCAATGTTTATGCTGAGATGGGAGATAAGACTAAAGCACTGGAATATCATCAGGAAAGTCTGACAATGAGCAGATTAATCCATCAGGACAACCCTAACACCGATGTTGCCAGATCACTATACAGCATAGGCAATGTTTATGCTGAGATGGGAGATAAGACTACAGCACTGGAATATCATCAGGAAAGTCTGACAATGAGCAGATTAATCCACCAGGACAACCCTAACACCGATGTTGCCAGATCACTATACAGCATAGGCAATGTTTATCCTGAGATGGGAGATAAGACTAAAGCACTGGAATATCATCAGGAAAGTCTGACAATGAGCAGATTAATCCACCAGGACAATCCTAACTCAGATGTTGCTAAATCACTATACAGCATAGGCGATGTTTATGCTGAGATGGGAGATAAGACTAAAGCACTGGCATATCATCAGGAAAGTCTGAAAATGAGCATATTAATTCACCAGGACAACCCTAACACCGATGTTGCTAGTTCACTATACAGCATAGGCAACCTTTATGCTGAGATGGGAGATAAGACTAAAGCACTGGCATATCATCAGGAAAGTCTGAAAATGAGCATATTAATCCACCAGGACAACCCTAACACCGATGTTGCTAGTTCACTATACAACATAGGCAATGTTTATGCTGAGATGGGAGATAAGACTAAAGCACTGGCATATCATCAGGAAAGTCTGAAAATGAGCATATTAATCCACCAGGACAACCCTAACACCGATGTTGCTAGTTCACTATACAACATAGGCAATGTTTATGCTGAGATGGGAGATAAGACTAAAGCACTGGCATATCATCAGGAAAGTCTGGCAATGAGCAGATTAATCCACCAGGACAACCCTAACTCAGATGTTGCTAAATCACTATACAGCATAGGCAATGTTTATGCTGAGATGGGAGATAAGACTAAAGCACTGGCATATCATCAGGAAAGTCTGGCAATGAGCAGATTAATCCACCAGGACAATCCTAACTCAGATGTTGCTAAATCACTATACAGCATAGGCAATGTTTATGCTCAGATGGGAGATAAGACTATTGCACTGGAATATCATCAGGAAAGTCTGGCAATGAGCAGATTAATCCACCAGGACAACCCTAACACCAATGTTGCTAGTTCACTATACAACATAGGCAATGTTTATGCTGAGATGGGAGATAAGACTAAAGCACTGGCATATCATCAGGAAAGTCTGGCAATGAGCAGATTAATCCACCAGGACAATCCTAACTCAGATGTTGCTAAATCACTATACAGCATAGGCAATGTTTATGCTGAGTTGGGAGATAAGACTATTGCACTGGAATATCATCAGGAAAGTCTGACAATGAGCAGATTAATCTACCAGGACAACCCTAACACCGATGTTGCTAGTTCACTTTACAGCATAGGCAATGTTTATGCTGAGATGGGAGATAAGACTAAAGCACTGGCATATCATCAGGAAAGTCTGGCAATGAGCAGATTAATCCACCAGGACAATCCTAACTCAGATGTTGCTAAATCACTATACAGCATGGGCAATGTTTATGCTGAGATGGGAGATAAGACTAAAGCACTGGAATATCATCAGGAAAGTCTGGCAATGAGCAGATTAATCCACCAGGACAACCCTAACCTGGATGTTGCTAGTTCACTATTCAGCATAGGCAATGTTTATGCTGAGATGGGAGATAAGACTAAAGTACTGGAATATCATCAGGAAAGTCTGGCAATATATAAAGAAATCCACTGTGATAATAATCACCCAGATGCTACTGAAACACAGGGAAAGATAGGTACCATACTTCATAACATGGGGGAGTATGCAGAAGCCTCATGCTACTTTATTGAGAGTCTCAACATTTCCTGAGAATGGGAAAAACTGTGTATATGTAAGGATATGTTATTCCTGAACAGCACATTACAGACAAATAAGCTTTAGTGTGATCCAATCTGCACTCAGAGTTGTTAACTAGAGATCTAACGATCTAAGATTGCAAGCAATCTTACGGAGGCCCTATATTTGTTTCTGAACATTTAAAGGCCAGCCAAAGGTCAAATCTCTAATGAAAGGTCATATATGAACTCCAGACAACTTGTACATGATTTTTAAAAAAGGTTTGGTCGAATTAATGCAAGTTGAAATTTGACCTTGAAAAATTCCGAAATTTGACCTTTTTTCAGTTTTTGAGCTATAATATCTCAAAACTGGAGCCAAATTTTAATAGATAATCAATTGCTAATATGTGTAGAACCTTTAGTAGAGGAATATATATTCAGACTTTCATTTATAGTCCGGATGTGAAGTGCCATATTTTAAGTGAAGGTGGAAATGCTTATTATATGAACTTTTTTTGCATTTTCTGTTTAAACATGATATCCATATTCAGAAACTGTCGGATGCCCAACGAGCATCCTTGAGGAATTTTTTTGGCGGCCATTTTGAATTTTCACACGTTTTATGTATTTTAGCCAGCATATTAGAACAGAAAACTAGCATACACATAAACATATATTGCTGTTTTTTCTATAATAGAGTTCTTATATGATGTATACCAATATGTTAGGTTCCAGAAATGTCTCTTGACAAAAATAAAAAAAATTCAAGATGGCCGCCAACCTTACAATCTATGAAATGTCTCATTCTGTGATAATATCAAATTGATATAAGTGTTTCCTACAAAATTATCAATAAATAATACTAAATACATCTGATTATGATCTCTTTCTCACATATAAAATATCTGAAATGAGTAAAAAGTAACCTACATAATAATAATGATGTTCCACAAGGGTCATTTCTTGGTGCTATATATATCTTGAATTTATGAATTATCTTCTTTTACTAAGATTTCATCAAGGATTTCCCTCAATAAATCCTCATCAGTTTCTTCCAATTCCTGTTCAGTTACTGTATTTGTATGTTGGTTATTGCATTCATTCCCCTTGCAAACACAGAACAATGTACATGATAAAGATGCCTTGGAGCATGAACATCGCCCAGTTCTACATACATTGCCCTCTGATGCACATGTGCACTTAATAAGCTGGAGAATTCCTTCAGGGGCACAGGGTGTATCCTTGGACATTGTTGTTGGGACAAGTGAGCCGTGCTGTTAATTTCCCAACCATAATCTGTTGGAAGGATAAGTGGGGGGTCAGGCATATCAGCATTTTTCCATACAGCTACTTGGAAATGAGCTGCTTCACATGCTGGGAAAATGCTTCTGTTGTTGGTGGGAGGGATTTTAGCTTTGGTGCATTTGTAATGTGTTTTGCAGCATTTTCTTTGCCAATACAGCATATCTCACATCAGACATTTTGTCTGTGACTTTAGGTGTAATTCCATAACATCTAGAAACAAATTCTGTTGAAGTTTTCTCAACTTCAGTCATGTCTGCAATGCATTGACATCTCCCAAGTTAGCGAGTGAGTATCTATTTAACACCTTCATGACTGTTAGCTTGCCAATTCCATGCATGCAAGATGTCGTATCACTGCCAGAGAGACCATGCACAGCTAACAAGTTTGGAATTTTTAATTTGTGTTCATTTACGGTTGCATTAATGTTAATGTTTGCTCGGCCAGATGATGTTCCCTCCATTATGATGTTATTTTCCATTAACTTGTGCTTGAGACAGTGATGAAGAAGTAGAAGGAAAACATCAGTATCATCACTGAACACTGATATTCTGTTGGCCTTTACTGGAAGCATGCAGAACCTGGTGTACAATAACAACATCTGCTTCTTCTTGAGTGTTCCTTAAGTCATCACATTGGTCAATATTGCCTTTGTGAATTTGTACAGGTGTTGGATCAGGACCTGTGATAACAAGGATGTTGGAGAATGATCCTTCACTAGCTTTTTGAGTGAGATGGTCGATGACACACTTTATCAACTGGACCTTGTTCTCAGTCACATTCAGAACAACATTCTGTGCAGGGAGAGGTGTGTCAGAGCTGAACTTATACACTCTACTGGCTGATTGAGCTTGAGATGACCTAGTGCTGTTCTTTATGCTATTGTCTTTATATCTGTCAAAGATAAGGTATACATCTGATTCGGTTAGGAGTCTCAGGATGTACTTAGTAAAAGCAATACAGAAGTTTTCAATTTTGCCAGCCATCGGCCATGTTATGATCAAAAGGATGGCACACCCATCAACGACACGTACATTGCAATTGTTTCCTCTTGAGGTCACCTCAATCTGTAACTTTTGTTTCAGTGTTGATTTTGAAGTTGTGATATTAGTTTCTCCATTTTCATCAAATAGTGATGATGGAGGGAACATTGTCTGGCCGAGCAAACATTAACATTAATGCAACCGTAAATGAACACAAATTAAAAATCCCAAACTTGTTAGCTGCGCATGGTCTCTCTGGCAGTGATACGACATCTTGCATCCATGGAATTGGCAAGCTAACAGTCCTGAAGGTGTTAAATAGATACTCACTCGCTAACTTGGGAGATGTCAATGCAGACATGACTGAAGTTGAGAAAACTTCAACAGAATTTGTTTCTAGATGTTATGGAATTACACCTAAAGTCACAGACAAAATGTCTGATGTGAGATATGCTGTATGGGCAAAGAAAATGCTGCAAAACACATTACAAATGCACCAAAGCTAAAATCCCTCCCTTCAACAACAGAAGCATTTTCCCAGCATGTGAAGCGAGCTCATTTCCAAGCAGCTATATGGAAAAATGCTGATATGCCTGACCCCCCACTTATCCTTCCAACAGATTATGGTTGGGAAATTAACAGCACGGGCTCACTTGTCCCAACAACAATGCCCAAGGATACACCCTGTACCCCTGAAGGAATTCTCCAGCTCATTAAGTGCACATGTGCATCAGAGGGCAATGTATGTGGAACTGGACGATGTTCATGCTCCAAGGCATCTTTATCATGTACATTGTTCTGTGTTTGCAAAGGAAATGAATGCAATAACCAACATACAATGACAGTAACTGAACAGGAATTGGAAGAAACTGATGAGGATTTATTGAGGGAAATCCTTGATGAAATCTTAGTAAAAGAAGATAATTCATAAATTCAAGATATATATAGCACCAAGAAATGACCCTTGTGGAACATCATTATTATTATGTAGGTTACTTTTTACTCATTTCAGATATTTTATATGTGAGAAAGAGATCATAATCAGATGTATTTAGTATTATTTATTGATAATTTTGTAGGAAACACGAATATCAATTTGATATTATCACAGAACTAGACATTTCATAAATTGTAAGGTTGGCGGCCATCTTGAATTTATTTTTATTTTTGTCAAGAAACATTTCTGGAACCTAACATATTGGTATACATCATATAAGAACTCTATTATAGAAAAAACAGCAATATATGTTTATGTGTATGCTAGTTTTCTGTTCTAATATGCTGGTTAAAATACATAAAACGTGTGAAAATTCAAAATGGCCGCCAAAAAAATTCCTCAAGGATGCCCGTTGGGCATCCGACAGTTTCTGAATATTGATATCATGTTTAAACAGAAAATGCAAAAAAAGTTCATATAATAAGCATTTCCACCTCTATTGGCTCTACATCCAGACTATTAAAAATATTGATTTGTAGTCTCCAATTTTGAGAAACTTAGAAAACACAGTTTGTGATTTCGTTTGATGACCTTGACCTTTGACCTTGCAAATTTTACTTTTTTAGACCTCAGAAGGTCTTTTGTGAATAAATATACCTAAATTTGAATCCAGAAAATCGATTTGAAAAATCAACTTTTTTGACCTTTCAGATGTCACTGAAGGTCAACCAAAGGTCAAAAGTAAGGTTAGATTTGGAATCCTGAGAATTTGTAGATGAGTTTAAAAAAAAAATTGGTCAATTTGAAGCAAGTTGAAATTTAGTCTTGAAAAGTTTCGAAATTTGACCTTTTTCAGTTTTTGAGTTCCAATATCTCAAAACTGGTACACAATTTTAATAAATAGTCAATTGCTAATATGTGTAGAACCTATAGAGGAATATATATCCTGACTTTCATGAAAAAATATTGATTTGTAATCTCCAATTTTGAGAAACTTAGAAAACACAGTCTGTGATTTAGTTTGATGACCTTGACCTTTGACCTTGCAAATTTTACTTTTTTAGACCTCAGTGGGTCCTTTGTGATCAAATATACCTAAATTTGAATCCAGAAAATCAATTTGAAAAATCAACTTTTTTTACATTTCGAAGGTCACTGAAGGTCAACTAAAGGTCATAGGTCAAAACTAAGATCAGATTTGAGTTCCTGAGATCTTGTAGATGCTTTTTAAAAAAAAAGTTTGGTCAATGTAGAGCAAGTTGAAATTTGACCTTGAAAAATTTCGAAATTTGACCTTTTTTCAGTTTTTGAGTTGTAATATCTCAAAACTGGAGCAAAATTTTAATAAATAGTCAATTGGTAATATGTGTAGAACCTTTAGAGGAATATATATTCTGACTTTCAGTAAAAAAATTGATTTGTAGTCTCCAATTTTAAGAAACTTAGAAAACACAGTTTGTGATTTCGTTTGATGACCTTGACCTTTGACCTTGCAAATTTTACTTTTTTAGACCTCAGAAGGTCTTTTGTGAATAAATATACCTAAATTTGAATCCAGAAAATCGATTTGAAAAATCAACTTTTTGACCTTTTGGAGGTCACTGAAGGTCAACCAAAGGTCAAAGGTCAAAAGTAAAGTCAGATTTGGAATCCTGAGAACTTGTAGATGAGTTTTAAAAAAAATTTGGTCAATTTGAAGCAAGTTGAAAAAAGACCTTTTTTGACCTTTTTTTGACCTTCAATATCTCAAAATCTGGTGAAAATTTGTCTAGAGGGCAAAAGGCTAACACTAATAGAATACTAATATCTATCGGTATGCAAAAATTCAGGCAAAAATATTGAAGTGTAGTGTCAGGATTTGAGAAACTTGAAAAAAGCTTTGATTTGACCTAGATTT